GGAGATGTTGAGAGCCACAGCCGAAGGGGCCCCAGCAAACTTCCAGCTGCCAGCTGATGATTGGCTCACAGCAGCCCCAGCAACTTCTAGCTGCTAACTGATTGGCTCCTCTGCGGTGACGCTCATTGGGCTGTTTTGCCGCCCTTTCAGACCATGGAGCTGCTCATTGGGGGACTTTTTTTGGCTCCGCCCATGCAACCCAGCCAATCGGCCTCAAGAGCAGGAGGAGTGGGGGAGGTTGAGAGGCTTGTGGGAAGCCGGTGGTGGCAGTTGGGCTCTGAAGGTTTTCCTGAGGAGCTGTTTTGTTTGGCATGTGTGGTTCTAAAAATAAAGTTCGTTTCTTTTGACAAGTGGCTCCTGAATTGTGCCCAGCCAGACTGCGGCAAGACAGGACCTGGGATGGCCAGGGACTTCCTGGAAGGAGTGAGTTCACAGCCGTGGGTGCACATCGTCCGTGGCCTTAACTTGGTGAATGTTCCCTGGGGACCCATTTCCAAACCCATGCTGCTCACTGGTGGGTCCAGGATGGTGCCCAAAGGAGAAGCAGGTATGCAGTCTGTGGGGAGCAGTAACCCTCACTGCCACAGGTGAAGCCTGCACACCCTCCGGCTCTGCCACGCCACTAATTGAGTGGGAACTGTATAATTTTTTAAAAATTGCAATGATCTATATTTAAAGGTGCATGAGCTGGCAGTTAGGCTTATGCATGTTTMTCTCTTCACTTTTGTGGTGGCAACACTTATGACCCACTCAATCTGCAATTCTGAAAGAAACAACAYGCTGTGTGAACAGGAGATGTCCTGCTGGGTGTCATGCGTGCATCACGGAGGCTCTGGTCCCAGGGACCAGCAGTGCTCCRTCCCCACCCCTGGGAACCCGTCCTGTGCTGATGTGAGCACAACAGCTCAGATTCATAAGCAGGTAAGACCCAGCAACCTGTCCCTGGGTCACCTGGCACACTCCACCAGCCAGGTGTCTTCCTGCTCCTCCAGTGCTCCCCCTTCCTGAGGCTGCCTGCATCCTCCTGTGCATGCACATGGCAGCTTCCTCTCCCGTCCACCTGCTGATGGACAGTTCCTTTCCATGTCGTGCCTGATGCTGCACAGAACACGGGAGGGCCGACACCTCTGAGGTGCTGATTGTTCCTTTGGGCATATACCCTGGGGTGGGTTGCTGGATCACATGGGAGCTGTTTTTGATTTTTTGAGGGGCCTGCATCTGTTTTCTCCAGTGGCAGTGCAAGGCCCCTTCCTCCACACCCCACCAGTGCTCGCCTCTTGTCCTTCTGATGACAGCCCTCCTTGCAGGTGTGAGGTCACCTCATGTGGCTTTGATTGCCTTTCCCTGTTGATCTGGGATGGTGAGCACCTTGCACATGCTGGACAGGCCGTGCCACTTTAGAGGGCTCACCCTGCAGAAATAACTCACACCTACCTGCAAGAGTGTTCTTGCAGCAGAAATCATATCAGGAGAAAAGCCCCTTGATATACATGTCAAACAACAGGGGGATGTTGGGAGAAATCAAGGCACTAGCATGTATCACATACTCTGATAGGGCTCTGAGCTGCCACTGACCCATGCAGCCTATTTCTCCTAAAAGGACACTTATGGTTATACGTTGGTACATAAGACGAAAGTGTTTGGGGAAAGGGAGGGAATGTGTTCTCATTTAAAAGTAGGAAACTCTAAGCAAAATAACGGCCCCATAAAGAATTCCACATCCAAATTAAGGGTTTTTTGTTAAGCAAACCTCTGAGCCACATCTGCAGCCCTTTTTATTTTGAGACAGGGTCTCACTGAATTGCTTARGGCCTTGCTAACTTGCTGAGGCTGGCTTTGAATTTCCGATCCTTCTGCCTCAGCCTTCTGAGTCACTGGGATTACTGGTGTGCATCACATGCCTGGCTTTAATTRAGGGTTTTGACAGGGAGATTATCCTGCATTGCCAGGTTGGCCCAGAGGGACAGGGTGCTACAGGAGGGAGGGAGGCAGCCAGGGCTGAGGAGACAGAGCAGAGGTGGGAGAGACAGTGAGCCACAGGTTTCGGGCCCTGTGGGAGCCGGAAACCACAGAGGACAGGCTCTCCCCTACAGCCTCCTGAGGGAGGTGGCCCTGAGACACCCTGGCTTGAGCTCAGGGAGACTCCTGACCTCCAGACTGTGAGATAACAAAGGTGTGTTGTTCAAGCACACAAGGCCTGGTGAGTTGTCATAGCAGAGGACAGGTAGGTGACAGAGGTAGAGATAACAAGTGCCTGATAGAAACATCCATCATCTCAAGTAGGATGAGGAGGCAAGGCAGACAGGACACATCACTCCTTGCTTATGTTGGTGTTTTTATAATTAACATTTATTACTCCCCTAAGTTATTACTCCCAGTTATTCTGGAGGCTCAGGCAGGAGGATTGTAGGTTCAAGACCCAGCAAGACCCTRTCTCAAAATAAAAAGGGCTCGGAATGCAGCACAGTGACATTGTGCCCCTGGGTTCAGTACCACTACAGAAAAAAATAAAAAATAAAACATACCTGGCACGGTGGCACACACCTGTAATCCCAGCAGCTCCAGAGGCTGAGGTAGGAGGATGGTGCATTCAAAGCCAGCCTCAGCAACTTAGTGAGGCTTTAAGCAACCTAGTGAGACCCTGTCTCAAAATGAAAAATAAAAAGGTTGTGGCTGTGGCTAAGGGCCTGGGTCCAATCCCTGGTGTGTGTGTGTGTGTGTGTGTGTGTGTGTGTGTATAAATCAAAACATAAGTATATCCTTAAAATAAAAATATAACCAGTTTTTACCAACAGTCAGAATGGTGGGAGAACTAAGGATGGAAGGGAATGGACAAGAGCCTCCTGGCACACGCAGCTCTTTCCTTTTCTCTCCTGCAATTTGGTGAAGAACATCTATAAYAGTCTCTGGTTTTCAGAAAGGATCCTCAGATAAATTGGGAAGGTCTCACAAACTTCCATAGGCAATAGCTTAAAATACACTGCTCATTTTAAATTAGATTCACTTGGAGCACAGCAAGAGAAGAAAGGAAGCAGAAATAAGAGGAGTAAATACTTCCCACTGGAGCAACAAGAAGTGTTAAGCATCGGGAAACCTGAGCTGCAAGAAGTATAGAAAGTGTGTGCGCAAGCGCATGCAATCTCCTCCATATATGCATAGGTAGATATATTTGAATTAGTTTTCCAGAGGATAGAGCCAACAGCGCGGGTGCACATGGTTCATCACTAGGAATCGATCGGTTCGTGCCATTCTGGGGACTGTGAGGTTTCACTGCCTGCCATCGAGAGACCCAGCAGAACCAGAGCGAAGCCAGAGGCTGCTGTTGAAGCCCTGAAGTCTGGAACAAGAACCAGGAGCCCCAGTGTGCAAGGACAGGGTATCCCAGCCGTGGAGCAGAGAGCTGCCTTCCTTGCATTTCTTTGTTCGGTTCAGGCCCACGATGGGTCAGATGGAACCACTCACATAGTGAGGGTGGGTCTTCTTCAATCAGTCAGATTCAATCTCTTCCAGAAGCACTGTCATAGACACACCCAGAATCATATTTTTGGGCATCTCGCAGCCTCTCAAATTGACAAATAGTTTAATATCCTGACACTYGCACGTGCGCACAAACATACATTTGCGGTTCATTGGACTTTTATTATTATTGTATTAGGTTGTATTTAAAATTTCTTAGTTTGAGATACAGATTCCCAGTAAGTCACAAAACACTACAGAGACGTCTTTTGTGCCATTCTTCCAGTTTCCTCCCATGGTATACCTCGAGTAAACAGGGTCCAACATTCAAACCAGGGCATTAACATTGGCATGGTGTGCACTTATAGTTCTGGGTCTTTTTTTGGTAGGGGCAGGTAACTGGGGATTGAACTCAGGGGCACTTGACCACTGAGCCACATCCCCAGGCCTATTTTGTATTTTACATAGAGACAGGGTCTCACTGAATTGCTCAGTGCCTCACATTTGCTGAGGCTGGCTTTGAACTTGTGACCCTCCTGTCTCAGCCTCCCAAGCTGCTAGGATTACAGGCGTGTGCCACTTCTTCTGGCTTGGTCCTTTTTCAAAGCAGTTTTATTGAGTTATAATTGATATACAAGGAACTGTAAAGGTAGACATCTAGTGGTCCCCCCTCCCATCTGAGGGGGACATGTCCCAAGACACTCAAAGGACAACTGAGAGCTGTGGCAGAGCACTTGCCCAGCACGTGTGACGCACCACATAAAAATAAATAAAGATACTGTGTCCATCTACAACTAAAAACAAATTTTWAAAAAAAGAACACGACACAGTGGGTAGTGCTGGCCCCACGTGAGCTCCTTCCCACACAGCTTCCCGCTGAAGGAGCTCTCCCCCTCRCCCTGGCCCTCTGGGGCTACTGTGAGTAAGGCGAGGAGGACCTGAAGACAGCGTGAGGGGGCCCCGGGGGACTAGGGAGACAGCACACACCGCGGGGGACACTGGACAGGGCAGGCCTCCYGGCCCCGCAGAGCTCAGCGAGCTCCCGTCGGCTACTCGGACGGGGCAGGGTTTAATCATCGACTTCTGGAATTTTTCACCTTTGGCTGTGGTCGCTAGGGTAACCGAAGTCACCGCCGCAAAAGGTGACTCTGATGCTCGCTGCAACGGGCCGCCGCCGCTCGGGGCCGGACGGGTGCTTGGCCGCCCACTCGCCCCCGCGTCTGCCCGCTGTGTGCCCGGCCACCACCCTCGGGGACCTGACGGCGAGGCGGCAGCTTTGGAACTGACCCCAGCGTCACATCGGTAGCACCCGGACGCCGCAGCCCAGCCAYGGCGGTGGCGCAACGCCGCTGGGCCCCGGGATCTTCCCCCGTCGCCGCTCCCCACCGTCCCGGGCCGCCCGCGCGCGCTCAGGACCGACGCGCCTCGCGGGGCCGCGCACGCAAGCGGGGGCMGCCGGGAGGAGCGCCGCGCCGTCGATGGCCGAGGCGCGCTCGCGGAGGCCGCCGGGAGGAGCGCCGCGCCGTCGATGGCGGGGCCGCGCGCGTTAGCGGGGCCGCGCACGGCAGCGCGGCGGCCGCCATCTTCCGTCCCGGCGGCAGCGGCGGTGCAGGCGCGGGGTCAGCGGCGCGGCGGCGCCCCTCGCTCGGCCCGGCGGCGGGCGTGGACCAGGCAGGAGCCCGGGGGCCGCCCGCCCCTTCGCCGCCCGCGCGCCCGCCGGCTGGGTGCGGAGCGCAGACCCCGCCCGGAGCGCCGGACCCGCCCGAGGCCGCCCGCGCCCCCCGGGCCGCGCAGATGGGATAGGCGGCGAAGATGTTCAGCTTCGAAGGGGACTTCAAAACGAGGCCCAAGGTGTCG